CCCCAAAACCCCAAAACCCCAAAACCCCTAGAGACAAGTTAATTCAGAGTTCTAATAAAATCATTAAAGAATGTATATACATAAAAATTATATATTTAACATATTCCATAAAATTAAAACTATAAAAGTATAAGATAATAAAGAATTGAAGTCTAGACTATTGATATATTTAGTCTATTTCCCTTTTTATTAGAATCATTCATCATCTTCCCAGTCATTTCTCTATCTTCTGGTAGATCTCAGCTCTGATTAAACTTTATAGATATCAATAGAATTTTTCTAGTATCCATGATTTTTCTAAATTGCATCAATATAACCTATATGTCTTATTTCATCGATATCTTCAGCGAGTGGGTCATAGTCTTAAGTCTTATGCTTTTAAACTTAAGGCCCGTAAATTTTATCCTAGTAATCATAATTGACATGATTCTTGTGCATTATGTCCATAATAGGTGATTCGACTATTGGGCATGGCGCTCTGATACACCTAATTTACCCAATGTTTCCCCATTTGTATTAAGATTTTTGTGATTGAACATTTGCATAATGCCCATAAATATTCTGCATTCCATTCAAGTAGGTTGCTTATTTCATTTCTCTTTCTAAATCAGATAATGGGTTTCCTGATTGAACTTTGTTTCCATAGATTTTCTAGAGAGCTTCAAGTTTAGCTTACTCCTTAAGTTCCCATTCAGTTTATTACAATGGATCAACTGGATGACGAGCTTGAACATTGTAGTGTTCGTAAATGTTATATGCAGATCTATCAGTATAATAAGAATGTGGTAATTTTGCTTCTATTTGCTATAATAGTTTAGCTTACTCTATTTTTGGATCTTGTACCTTTGTTCCATAGATTTTTTGCATGGTTTCAAGGTAGGATTACTCTTTTAGTTGGTGCTTTTGTTGATATAGTGGGTCATAATATCCCCATTGTGGCGATTACACGTTAGCATAATGTCCATAGATATTTTGCATTCCTGAGAGATAAGTTGCTTATTTCATCTCTCTTTCTAGGTCGGATAGTGGGTCTTGTTGTACCTTTGGTTCTTGTACATTATTTCCATAGATATTTTGATATGCCTTAAGAATTGCTTATTCCTTAAGCTGGTATGCAGTAAGGCCTAATGGGTTAGGACCAGCAGGAACAGGGCCATCTTAAATGTTTTGTAACATTTAGAGGTAATCTGCTTGCTTAGTTTCTCTTAATACATCGGCAAGTGGGTCATCATTATGATCTTTAATTTATGGAGATTAAACAGTGGTTCCATATATCTTTTGCATTGCTTCAAGATAAGCTTATTCTTTAAGTTGGTGTTCTGGTAGACTGAGTGGATCTACATATCTACCATTTACGTAGTAGACTAATGAGTTTGGGCTTTCAACTGATAGTTCAGCAGCAGCAAGGTTCTCTTAAGCAGAGACATGACCGAGGAGAACAGCTCCAGCGATTGTAATATATTTCTTCATTTCGGATTGATTTTTTAGATTATTAATTGAGTTAAGTTAATTGGAGTATTTATAGAGCTACTGGAAGTTATTAAATCTTATATTAAAATATTATTCTTTATTTATATATCTTGTATTTTAATATAGATCCTGTGGTATGGGGTTTTGGGGTTTTGGGG